AACAATATGCTACTAAACAACTGATATGTCACTGCAGAAATCAAATAGGAAATCAAAAAATACCTGGAGACAAATGAAAATGGAAACAAAGTGATCCAAATTCTATGGAATGCAGCAAAAGCAGTTCTAAGAGGGAAGTTTCTAGTGATACAAGCCTATCTCAGGAAACAAAATCTCAAATAAACAACCTAACCTTACACCTAAAGGAACTACAAAAAGAAGAACAAACAAAACCCAAAGTTAGTATAAGGAAAGATAACAAAAGATGACGTAGAGACTTAAAAAAAAAAAAACAATGAAACTAAGAGCTGGTGCTTTGAAAAGATAAATTAAATCAATAAAACTTTAGCCACACTCATCAAGAAAAATGAGGGCCCATACAGAATCAGAAATAAAAAAGAAGTTATAACAAACACACCAGAGCTACAAAAAATCATGAGAGTACTGTGAACAATTATGCACCAATAAAATGGACAATCCAGAAGAAAGGGATAAATTCTTATAAATGTACAATCTACCAAGACTAAATCAAGAAGAAATACAAAATATGAACAGATTTGTAATGAACTGAATCAGTAATTTAAATAAACTCCCAACAAACAAAAGTCCAGGACCAGATAGCTTCACAGATGAATCCTACCAAACATTAAAAGAAGAGTTAACACTTGTCCTTCTCAAACTATTCCCAAAAATTTAAGAGGAAGGAATACTCCCTAACTTATTCTATGAAGCCAACATCAGCCTGATACCAAAACCAGACAAAGACATCACACACACACACATAAAAATTATAGGACAACATCACTGATGAACATAGAGGCAAAAATCCTCAACAAAATATTAGCAAACCAAATTAAACAATATATTCAAAGGACCATACACCACGATCAAATTGGATTTATGTCAAAGATACAAGGATATTTCAATATCTACAAATCAAATATTGTGATACACCACATCCACAAATTCAAGAGTAAAAATCATACGATCATCTCAACAGATGCAGAAAAAGCTTTTGACAAAACTCAACATCATTTATGACACCTCAACATAATAAAGTCCATATCTGACAAGCCCACAGCTAACATACTCAATGGTGAAAAACTGAAAGCTTTTCCTCTAAGACCAGGAAAAAAACAAGGATCCTCACTCTCATCACTTTTATGCAACATAGTACGGGAAAGCCTAGCCAGAGTAATCAGACAAAAAATAAATAAAAGAAAATCAAATTGAAATGGTAGAAATACAACAGTCACTGTTCCATACAACATGATACTATATATAGAATATCATCAAGAGGCCACCAAAAAACTATTAGAAGTAATAAATGAATTCAGTAAAGTTGCAGGATACAAAACTGATATACAGAAATCTGTTGCATTCTATACATTGACGATAAACTATCAGAAATAAAAATTGAGAAAACAATCCAACTTACAATTGCATCAAAAAGAATAAAATACCTAGGAATAAATCTAACCAAGGAGGTAAAAGACCTGTACTCAGAAAACCATAAGACACTGATGAGAGAAATTGAAGATGACACAAACAGATGGAAAGATATACTGTGTTCATGGATTCGAGGAATTAATATTGTTAAAATGGCCATACTACCCAAGGCAATCTACAGATTCAGTGCAATCCCTATCAAACTACCAATGGCATGTGTCTAGAAGAGCCACACTCAAATAACTAGCTTCTGCAAGTTAGCAAATCAATGACAGACCAAAGTTTCTGAAAGTCAGCCAATCAGTGACAGCCACAGCTTCTAGATAGGAGTAAGTGCCTCCCTCCTCTGACACTGCACTGATGAGGATTCTGAAAGTGAGAAGGCCAGCAAGTACTCTTCCTGTACTAACTGCACTAACACAGCTGAAAGCCTGCCAGCACCTAAACACTCTCACTTCTGAAAGCCCATGGCTCCCTGACACCAGGCTTCCCAAAACCTTATATAACATTAACTCTGGCTTTCTTCAGAAAGACTGTGTTTACAACTGGCCCTTACAGGCAAATTGGAAGTTCCCCATTTTTTAAAATAACATATCAAGTTCAGTTTATAGTTTGTTCACAGGTTCACAATCTTTTCAACAGTTCAGCTCATTTATGATTAGTTATGAGTTTGAACGTGTGAGTTTCACTGACACAGCTGCAAGATTTTCATATTCAATATTTTCAATTCTTTTTGAAATGTTTTGGAACTACTACCTATATTTTTATATGTGTATATTTAAACCCCAAAATGTCAAAAGGCAAGTGCAAATTTTGTAATGAATTTGCTAACAGTAGAAACTCAACTGAGGAAAAAGTCCTTTTGAAGCTCTTTGTGCAGTTTGCAATTGTTCACTAAACATCAGAAATGGTGGAAAGTCCAATATAAACCAGCACATACTAACAGCTAGGCAAAAAAAATAAATGGTTTCCTCCTACAGTACCAAAGAAGGTCATTTAACAAATTTGGGGGATTAAGAAAAATTCAGAGGAAGTTGTAAGATTTGTAGCAGGCACTGTACTGGTTTTCCACTCTGTGTATCAGCAGTCTTTCTGCCCAAACGTCTAGCTGAATGCACAACTACCAGAAATACCTTTTGATCCCAAAATTGCAAGCAAATTTTCAAATGCCAAGTTAAAATCCACTGCCACTATCAAAGAAGTAACACCAGATGGCCCTATGTTTAACACCTGTGGACCCTCATCCTGTAAATATCTATCTAAATGGGTCCATTTTACCCAAGATGATTTAAAATTACACTGGCTAAGATGAAGAACTTTTGACATTCCCAAATTAGTTTATCTCCACATGCAACTGGGAAAAAAAAAAATGTAACAACTAGGCAAAATGAGTGGGAAGCTTATTTAATTGGTATCTAGAGGCCTCTAAACACAACACGGAGAAAATTGTCCCCCTCCGAGCTATGGCTGAACAGCTGACCCAGACTGTCTTTTAACTTGAAAAATCAGCTCATCTTTCTCACTTTCACTCACTGATCACTTTCAGCTCTTCCCTAACTGAAAGTTGAGGTAAGTAGCTGCGGCAAATCCGCAGGCCTAGGACGAGGGGCAGGGCCCAGAAAACTCAGTAATCAAGATAAGTACTATTTCAATGCAATACTTTAAACAATCAAAATTAATGCAAAACTTCTGTGATGGAAAAAAATATCAATATCTTCAAGAAAGCCAGGATCTGACCTGGTCTAACCTCATTCAGCCTCATCCTAATCCCAGTTTTTTGCCACTCCCTTAAATTCTGCACCTGAGTCAAGCACTTTGCTTGCCCCTCCCTACTGCTGGCCCCGGTGGATCCTCCTTAGAATCCTTCGTCCTCAACACACACACACACACACACACACACACACACACACACACACACACACGAATACACATCAAAATGCTCCTCCCTATGAACCTGGCCTGAGTGGTCAGCTGTGCCTCCAAGAGCTGGAGCCCACCTTCAGCTACTAGGGTCTTGATATTAAAAGCAACTTAACACAATTTAAGAAATAAAAATATTTTTTCCCAATTACATTAGTTTCTGGATGTTTTATTGCCTCGGATGTTGAAATCTTTTCAGGAACTGTGGTCTGCAGAAAGGTTTTATGAGGATCTAAAACAAAAAGTAAGCAGAGTTACTGTGATACTTGTAATCTTGGATTATTCATTTCTAAACCCAATTCATTTGTTTCTCTACATTACCAAGTTTTTCTTATAATCTATGCATCTACTTTTCCTTTCTGCTGTTCTTCGGTCATTCTTACCGCTAAATCTCTTAAGCCTTGTCAAATCTTAACTTTTTATTCTCTACACACACACACACACACACACACACACACACACACAAAGTCAGACTGCTGTAGGTAGAAAAAGGCCACGCCTTTCATTTCTGTCCATTTTACAGACAAGGAAACCCCCCCCACGGAAATGAAAAGATTTTCTCCCGGAGGCTGCCTCTCTGCCTCCTTAGCTGCAGACCTCGAGGCCAAGGGTCGGGAGGCTGTGGGGGGTGAGGGCGAGGGGCGAGGGGAGGGAGGGAGTACTGAGCCTGGATCCTGGACCAATGAGGGCAGCCCCCCGACCGAACAAAGCGAGGGGAACGGCCTGTGGACTCACTGCGGCCCCCGTGCAGCCCGCCTAGGCCAGTGAACAGAACCAGCAGGAGGAACATGGCTCCGCTGACCTGGAGCCGCGCTGGCGCAACAGCGACGGCCGTTGTGCTGACCGAGTGCAGAGCGCGGGAGCGAGACGCGCGCCAGCAGGGGGCGCACGGGGAAAGCGCCGGAAGGAAAAAGCCGGCGGAACGCTCGGCGGCCTCGGGCCGCGGCGGGCGCGCGACCAGCGTGCCGCGGGTGGGCCGGTAGGGCGGGGGGTAAACTTTCGGTCCCTAGTTAAGGAAGGAAAAGCCGCGCGAGTTCCAGTTCTCAGATGAAGCGGGTGCCTAGTTTTGTTTGCGTCTTTTACGTAGGCCGGCGGTTTTTGTTTTTGTTTTTCCGGTACGCGAACCTCTCGCTGTTGCGGCCTCTCCCGTTGCGGAGCACAGGTCCCGGACACGCAGGCTCAGCGGCCATGGCTCATGGGCGCAGCCGCTCCGTGGCATGTGGGATCTTCCCGGACCGGGGCACGAACCCGTGTCCCCTGCATCGGCAGGCGGACTCTCAACCACTGCACTACCAGGGAAGCACAGGCCGGCGGTTTTTTGAAGTAATTTCTAATCCCAGTGAAGAGAAGGAGCAAGGATGAAAATGCTCAAGTTACCGACAGCAAACAAGGTTCCTCCTAGTACATTACTTACCACAGGAGGCGGCAAAATGCGTGTATTTGCAAAGACTGGTGCGAACACGGTGGCTTTTCTACATGTCATGGTTGGATATGCCATTGCTAGACAGCCATGGAATGCAGAAGACCCCATATACGATCCTTGTCCGAATATAGACTCTTCTAAAAAATCTTCCTTAGTACCCTAAGTTATTATTGCCACACTCTGCAGCCTCTAGTTTTTACGTGTTTACCTAGCCCTTTGTACGTTCCGCCTCTATTAGGACCAAGAACAGTTTGATTTCTTGACGTCTGTAGGCGTTCTTTCCTTCGCAGATCCTAGCCCACATCACATTAAATACATTAAAATACAGCCATACTCGATCCTGGCTATAAGTTTGCTTTAACAAATGTTGAAATCATGTCTATAAATTCACTTTGAAACTGCTTGGCTGTCCCGAAAAACAAAGAGAAGTTATTAGCAGAATAGAACAGTAACAAATAATCTTTAAAAAGAATCAAGTGGCAAGAAATAAAGTCACAAGTGTTGGAATAAATAGTAGAATGTATACTTATTGCTTTGTGGATTTGCAGTTTGGAATATCTGATTGACAAACTCTCTCAGGAAGGAACAAGAAAGGATTTTTAAAAATAGAAAATACCAAAATAAAATTAAGAGATAAGGAGAATAGAAGTAGAACTGTTAATAATAGCATTTTCCAGAAAGAGAAAAATTTAAATAATTAGGAGGAAATATTTAAAGGGATAATGGGGAAAGTGTCTCTTAACTTGAAAAATAAGAGAATGACTTTAGAAAGGACCCAAGTGTTAAAAACTGGGCTTTGGAGGAAAAACAAATCTGAAATTTTAAATGACAGGAAAGATTCTGAAATCTTCCAGAGGAAAAGAACAGAGCACCTATCAAGGCACAAGAGTCAGATTGACATTAACAGCCATACTAGATGCATGAAATCAGTGGGTTATTAAAGTGTTGACTTCCAAACAGCTAAGGATGGCAGTCACACTAAGCCAGCCTCTTGCATACACTTTTAGAGGAGGGCCAAAGAACTGAGTCAAGTGGGCATCACTGAAGACAGTACTCTTGGAATATACCTGGACTCTACAGCTAAACTCAGACCATTGAATTTGTCAAGTTTCTGTACACTTGAGTTTCTGACAGTTCCGTCACTATTGCAAAACTAATTTCCTCTGTGGATACCCACCAGATTTCTAGTGTACATTAACATCTAAGACTTAAAAAAATCATTGGATAAGGTTACAGCAGCTTGGACACAGCAGAAGGAATCAGTGAGCTTAAGATAGGGCATCAGAAATTATCCAAACTGAATTAAAATAGAAAAAATAATTTAAAAAACAAAACAGAACTTTAAAGAATTATGAGACAGTATCTAATAATCAGGGAAATGTGTAACTGGAGTTCCCTAAGGGAAAAAAGAGAATGGGTCAAAAGAAAGATCTGAAGACATACTTAATGGCTGAGAATTTTCCAAAATTGTTGAAAGACATTAAGTAATAGATCCAAGAAGTTACTTGAATACAAATTAGGGTAAATTCAAAGGAAAACACCCTTAAGCATATCATGATCAAACTTCCAAAAACCAAAGACATGCAAAAGTATCTTAGGAGTGCCTGGGTGTGTGAGGAGACACATTACAATCCAGTATACCAAAAATAATAATAACTGAATTCTCATCAAAAATAATGAAACCCAGAAGGTAATAGATTAAATACTGCTGAAAGGGAAAAAATAGCAATTTAGAATTCTGTGTGCAATAATTGTATCTCACTGAAAAGAAAATAAAAAAAACTTTTCAAGCAGAAAAAAAAAAGATGAAAGAAATTGTCACCATCAGAAGCACACTGCAATACTAGAGAAGGTTATCCAAGCTGAGGGAAGTGACCCCATATGAAAGCACAGATTATAAGAAGAAATGAAGAGCAACAGAAAGGGTAAACATGTGGGTAAATATAAAAAGCCATATAAAAATTTTGAAAACACTATTGACTGCTTCAGGTGAAAAAAACAGCAATGTATACATGGAATTTATAAAATATGTAGAATTAAATGTAGCAGCACCAACGGCAGGAGGAGGTAACAGGAACCATGCTGTTGTAAAGTTCTTTTGTTGTTTGTTAAGTAGGAAAATACTAATTCAAGGTAGACTGTGATGAATTAAGGATACACATTGTAACCTCTGGAAGAGCTACCAAAAAGTGTTAATAATATAAAAAAAGACAGCTAAAAACCATAGAAAAGAAAAAGTAGTTTATTGCTTAATTAACCTAAAAGAAAAACAGATGGGAAAAAAAACCCCAAAAGAACAAAGAAATGTGGGACAAATAGAGAACACGTAACAAAATGATAGACTTTTTAAAACCAACAGTATCATAAATTATATTAAATGTAAATCCTTTTAACACTCCAATTTAAAAAACACTGGCCGTAGAAAGAAACGAAATTGAGTTATTTGTAGTGAGGTGGATGGACCTAGAGACTGTCATACAGAGTGAAGTCAGTCAGAAAGAGAAAAACAAATACCATAAGCTAACACATATATATGGAATCTAAAAAAAAAAAAAAAAAAAAGGTTCTGAAGAACCTAGGGGCAGGACAGGAATAAAGACACAGGCATAGAGAATGGACTTGAGGACACGGGGAGGGGGAAGGGTATGCTGGGACGAAGTGAGAGTGTGGCATGGACATATATACACTACCAAATTAATTAAAACTAAATGAAATAAACCCCTTTAAAAATACAACTTGTGAAAAAAATATCACAAGAATGGAAAATCTAAATAGTCCTTTATCTGTTAAAGAAATTGAATCCATAATTTAAAATCTTCCGACAAAGAAAACTCTAGCTTCATTGATGAATTTGGCCAAATATTTAATTGAAAAACTTAGCAATTTTATACACTCTTTGAGAAAATGGAAAATGAGAGATATTTTTCCCAACTCGATTTATCAATCTTCATACCAAACTCTGATAAGGGATTAATCTTTGCCCCTGAGACCCAAGCCCAAGCTCTCTGGGTCCTTCTGCCTTCTGGGATTCATCCTGCAGGTCACCCAGCCGACAGGCAAGAGAAAGGTGGTAAGCAGAGGGAGAGGCCTGGAAGGTAAAGCACAGTCCCCAGAAGGAGCACAGCTTCCCTGAGAAGCCCTGGTTCTGTGGTTGTGGGGAGGGTGACGTGGTCAAATGACTGCATTAACTGAGATCTGCATGCAGCCAGCCAAGTCCAGTGAGAAGGACCCGGAGAAGGAACACAGTCCGTGCCCAGATCCTTTCCTGAGTGAGAGCAGTTGATGCAGATCCCCAGCATCTGGGGCCCCAGGCAGTAAATCCAAGTGGGTGGTGGAGAGAGCTGTGGAGAAGAGCTCAGGGAGTCAGTGGGAGTTGTGACTGACTATCTGCAGTCAAGGGCCCTGAAATGGCAAAATGGCGCCTCAGGGGTGGAGGAAGAAATAAAAACAGACGCTCCTGCAAATTGGTCCATCTTGGTTTATTACTTCCTTCAGTTGTGATGGGGGGAGAAAAGGCTGCATTTTCATTTCTCAGTGAGATCCCCAGTAATATCCATTGCCTTCTGAAGGAATTATTAGTTACTGTGGAAGAGAACAAAGACACATGTGCTTAGGTACTTAGGTATAACAAATAAATTACCTTCCACTGCAAAACATACAGTTGGCATACTGCCAAATGAAAAAATTCATATGGAAAAAGAAAAAGAATTCTAGAAGAATTTTTACAATTTTGCTTGTGGAATTATTTAGCTGTGAGTAACTTATTTACTATCAATTGTGATTTTTGGGAAACCATCGTATTTAATCAGAAGTACTTGCAAATGAGAAAATCTAATATTTTTTCCACATGCAATGAAATGTTCTTGAATATAACAAGTCAAATCTTTGTATGTTTTTAGAAATTTAGATACATATCAATTTTACTTTTTCCATATCTTGGAGCCAGTCATTTTTTAATTTTTTCATATGGTAAACAGTGTTTTGGTTTGGGCACTTGGAAACTCATAGGCCTTAAGCATTTTGCCTACAGTGCCTACTGGATAAAGTGGTTTGATTATGAATTCATTAAAAGACTAATTTACATATCATATATCTTATTAGAGTCAACTCTAATTCCATTCTGTCCACAAGAGCAAGTTCCCAACAAACTTAAAAGAATTTTACTAAACTGAGGAAAAAAGACTAAAAGTCTTTAAAAAATGATTTAAATAGTCATTAATAACAAGATTAGTAAAGATTAAAACATTATTTTTGGTGCAGTACTTTATGAATTCATCTAACCAATAAATATTTAGGAATTAGTTGTGGATTATAAATTTCATTTTAATTTAAAGCAAGTTATTTTAAGAGATATTTCCTAATGTACTTGCCTACTGTTAAGTGTTTCACTGCTTTTCTGTGACTTGAAGCTAAATAAATAAGGAAATAATGCTTTTATCACGATATAATACAGTCTGACAAAGATATATTTTTATGGCAGTTTCTTCTTTCCCTTCAAACTTGTGGTAAAAAAGAAATATCTGCCACATTTCTATTTTTATACTCATTATTACCAGAAGTCAAAATCAAATTTTTCAGCCTCTTTTCCATTTTTATATCCACAGATTTCTTATTTCTGATCCCCCAACCAAAAGAATGAAAAAGAATACGTTGAAGACAAATTAATTGAGTTTAATTGACAAAGATAATATAGGTAGTAAGATTAGGGAGAGAATTCAGTGCTAAGAGTGGCATAATTTTACCCCTCCTATCCTTTCACTACCTCTGCTATTTTATATCTTCAAAACTTATACTAGATTTTTCCTACTATTCTGACCATGAAACTCCCCTATTTAATATAGTTAGTTCTCCCCAAACCAATAAAGGGATTTGTATATATAGATTTGTGAGTCTACTGGATACATAACCCATCGTATTTCTGGCTTTAAAAAATTTTTTTGTCGTGGTAGTGTTTACCCAAGGAGTTGGTTCTACCAACATCTCCCACTGGCTTTCAAAATTTTTAAAACAGGGAAGAAAGGAAAATATAATGGGTGCTATAACAGTACAGCAGAGCAACTACGTCTGCCTAGCTTATTAAATTTAAAAGAAATAATAATCCAAGAATGCTTTTTTTGGTATATGCTAAACACAAGCTAGACTTATGGGTTAACACTCCAGATTACACTCTTCAAATGCAATATATATTGTCCCATGGATGATGACTATCCCTCAATCTTGAATACCACTTCTAGAAGAGGATGACTGTGCAAATGACATACTCTATAATGAGAGAGGATGTGAGGGGACAACTGGAGTAGTTATAACGTCAATTATGTGCGTATATGAAGTTCAAGATGGATGTGATGTTCATTCACTAAGCAAGTATTTATTGAGCATTTCCTCTGCTAGGTGCTAACTACAAATTAGCTCGCAAAATACACATGACCATTATCCTCAAGCAATTTCAGAGTGTATCGGCAAAGTAATGCTTTATTTAGGTAAGCAGAAGTTTGGAAGTATTAGAGTGTTTGAGCACTATATCACAAATCCCTTGGTAATGGTGACAGAGTAGAGGCAATAAAGAAAATCAGCTTTTTTCTTCATACTTTGCTTGGAGAAAATATCTATAAAAAGGTAATTATGTTAGGAAACATACAAAAACAACAGAATAAAGGACAGAGAAATGCCAATAGCCTCCCAAATGGAGGCGGTGACTTCATCAGGGACGACAGAAACTATATAATGTGGTGGGGTGTAGCCTGAAAACTTAACCTGTGGGTATGAAGGATATTCTGGAATATCAGTGGATTGAATGTAACTAAAAGAAGACACTTTAAGGAAAAACGCCAGGCAGGACAAGAAAACTAAAACTCTACAAGGGAGAAAAGAAGATTAGCAAATCAGTATATATTAGATGACTTCAGAAGGATCACAAGGCCACATGGAAAACTGAAAACTCAGAGAACCCTTATTAACACAATTGAGGGCTGTTGGACTGAGGTGGGGAATGTGGAAAATGTAGAATTTTAGTGTGTTTATGATAACTGTCTCTAAGATAAACTCCTCCTGATTGGGGTAATAATTCACTCAATTGTTCATATTGAGTTTGTGGGTATAAATGTAATCTAAACAAAAAAGTAATATTTCCCTTTGTATTTCATCATAAAACATGCAAAAATGCTCTATGAGTTAGTTTCACAAAATAATTATAAATATCTTGTCTCTCATTAGACAACTAGTTTTCCCCTATGTATCAAAAGAGTAGGTAATCAATAAAAATTTAATAAACTGAAGAAAAGACTGAGTTAATTAATACTCTTTCCCAGAATGGAAAATATTAATAAGTTGTTTTTAGTGTAGTACTTTATCAATTGTGGCTGCTCAAAAAATATTAAACAATCTTTTGTTCATTCTTATTTTCAACATATACTTATAAGAAACATTTCTTATGTCACTTACGTGCTGGTATTTGTTTGGTCACTACTCTCTGAACTTGATCTAAATGAAAATAAAAATGTCCAAAAGTTAATACTAAGAAACCTGCCTACTTTAAGAATGAAGATCAAGCCATTTCATATCAAAACTAACTCTTTTAACACCTGGGGCAGGAAAATAAGTAGCAATCTTATTTACCCAACACCAAGTGCAACACATTAGTGCAAAATTTGAATCCTCCAGTGGGGAAACGTATCAAGACGGCAGAGATGCATTTTTTCCTTTATCACCTCTAAGCACAGTATATAAGTTTGATTCTGAATGCCTAAATTTGGCCTTCCAGTTACAAGTTAGCTTTTTATTTGTTGACAAGTAAATTGCCACATTTTGCAAATTAACATTCACATTTACTTCTGGGCAAACTATCAGACTTAACTGACAGAATAAGTTCCCCTTTCTATTCCACAAGGAAAGTTTCCCGTTTCTACTCTGCAGAAAAGCTGAAGATAATAGTGCAAAAATTTAATACCGAACTGAGATTGACAGCCAGAAAAGGCTCTTTGTCTGTCAGTAAAAAATGAAGAAACTAGAAATTCAGAGAGAAAACAGGAGCAAAATCTGAATGACTACAAGGGACTCTGAACTACTTGTACCCTAAGGGATATGATTTTAATAACCCTAGCTTGGTAGGAGTTTAGGGTACAGATATTTAGATGTTAGAAAGCTAGAGTGAAGCCCAAGCCTGGTAGTCTTGAATGGAGTTAACAAAAGGTATGGCCACTGGGAATGCAATAGGCAAATTGTCTCAGCCATGTGGATGGAAAAGGATCACCTAGACGCAGGACCCCAGACCTCTACCATCTATAGAGGCAGGACCACAATTCCTCAATTTCATTACCCACAAATTTGAACTAGCAAGCATAGAAAATATTAAAACATTCATGCCCCAAGGCAGGGAAAGCTGAAACGTTTCCCTCTTCCTAACGTATGCCTCTACAACTCGGGGTGTGCAGAGTTCCCATGACAACAATCATTGCCCCTGAGGATGAGCTTACAAGTCTAAATTACAAACAACTGTGTGTTAAGTGCCCACAGGTACAGCACAGCAGAACAAAAAATTCACATATTGAGATCGATGGATAATATAAGAAACCTTTAATAGAAACATTCAGAATCTCCACAGAGATTCAGGCAGAAGTAAGGCAAGAAAAGGATAGCTGTTAAGAGAATGGGTGATTTGGAAACTAATATGAGGAAATCAGTGCCAGAGAGAGACATGAAAAAGCATAGCATATGAACAGCCCGGTTAACAACTATGGCGGATAAAGTGAGAAGACTCTCCCAAATATAGTCATTTCAGATGCAGAAAAGATAAAGAATGGAAAAGAGGCGATAATTAAAGAAATAATGACTGATTGTTTTCCCAGAATTAATGACCTGAATGCTGGTATCTAAATACTATATGGAATCCAGAGCAGCGTAAATAAAAACAAATTCTATCAGAACATATCATAATAAAATAACAAAACATTCAGGACAAAGAGGAAATCTTAGAAGTCACTTAGAGTAAACACATTAATTGAAAGGGAATAAATAAGTTAATCAGACTGTCAACTCAGGTCTCATCAATGCCAGTAAATGTCACATTACAGCAACACAATACTTTAAAAGAGCTGTGGAAAGTGACTCCCAACCACAAGTCTGTAACCATCTAAGTTGCCTTTCAAAGATGAGTGTGAAAAAGACATGTTCAGACATTTAACATCAAATGCTTATAATCACAGAAACTAACTAAAATTAAAAGGGTTGTACTTCAGGAAAAAGGAAGTTGAAATCAAAATGAAAAAAAAAAAAAAAAAAACAGACTCAGGAATGAATAATGGGAGTTCCCTGGCAGTCCAGTGGTTGGGACTCAGTGTTTTCACTGCTGTGGCCCAGGTACAGTCCCTGGATGGGGATCTAAGATCCTGCAAGCCATGCAGTGTGGCCAAAAATCTAAAATAAATAAATAAAATAAAATCCAGGGTTAAATACCATTTTAAAAAAAGAATGAATGGTGACCAAAGCAATTGGTAAATATGTTGTTAAGCTCTAGTAAGTATTCATTTAATATAAAATGATAATAATAATAAGTGACAAATGGAGGGGGAGTCGTGTAGTGAATTTTAGATATTTAAAAAATTAATTAGCCCTAAAGTGGTACTAATATAACATATACTGGGATTCATCCCACCTCCCTGCATTCTTTGACCTCAACAGTCTTTTCCACTGACTTTCTACCAGAAAAAGATTATTCCAAAAATAAATGACCTGAAAACTATAGTGGATGTTATGTTAGTAAAACATAGCAGTAGAGTCAAGTGACATTCTTTAAATATAAATGAATAAAATTATCCTAAAAATGTTTCCCTGGTATATACCAAGCCTGAAGGCTAGACCAGTGGATTAACATTCCAAATTATACTACTCTAGTTGAAAGGTACATATACCTATGGGTAATTCTATCATCCCTTACCCAATGTAGGTGAATTAATATCCTAGGAGAGATGAATTCTGTTGACAAGGTTTCAGGATGAGAGATAATATAATAAGAGAGGGAGAAAAGGGGGCAGTTATAACATTATAGATACATAGATTGTGTGTGTGTGTGTGTGTGTGTGTGTGTGTGTGTGTGTGTGTATTTGTCTATGTACCTTTGTGTTTGTGGATTTTTTTTTTGGTCTAGTTGCCTGTGTGTGGAAAAGATTAAGTAATCATGCATTCATTCAACAAATATTTATTGAGCACTTACCATAAACCAAGAACTCTGCTACATGCTGGCTATACAGTGCTAACCTCTACGATAACAGAATATAATAAGACATACGTCCAAGGTGAGGAAAAAGTAACTGTGTTTGAGGACCATAAGATAACTCCCTGATACTGAGAGGACATAATAATGAAAATCAATTTTTTTAGTTTGGTGAGAGTAACTCATGACTCCATAAGTGTCACTAAAAGGAGAAGATCATAATGTCAAAAGAGAGATAAAGGGTAAGAAAAGCAGGCATTGTAACGGAAGAGGAAGACCTCTTTTGGAATAGAAATTAAACAACCCTGTTGTGCAGCCTAGACAGCTTACTCTGTAGATTTGGGTGTGTCTGCTAAGTGTACTTTGGAGGGACCTAGGTAGAATAACACCATCCAAAATTGTTGGATGTAGAAAACTAAACAATTATTGTATTATTATACAGACATATCCACCTTTCAGGAAATGGAAGGAGACCTAATTAAAACTACTTTGTAATCCTGAAAGGCTATGGAATACACAGAATTGTTATTCCTTTACAATCTTTTTCTTCAGCAAATTTTTCCTATGTGACCAGGGTAAGCCCTCATTCAGTTGTTCATGAGCATACATACTGGATTTCTAGAGTCTCCAATTAAAGAAGTAAACTTCCCCACTTATGAGTTAGCACCATAAACATTTCACCAATCATTTATTCCTTTGTTTCTCCAGAATAAACTCCCAACATACATTAACAAACTGAAGAAAAGAAGACATTGATTTATTTAGACAAATACTCACTACTTAACTAAGTTGGCAAATACTAAGAGGAATTTTTGTGTGTGTAGTACCTTATCAATTGTTGCTGCTCAATTAATACTTAGCAATTACTTGATGATTCAATTTGTTCATCTTATTTTTTTAACACATACTTATTTTAAGAAATCCTTTCTAATTTACTTACCTGACAGTATCTGTTTGGCTACTACTTTCTGACGAGGACCTAAAATGCAAGTGAAAATAATGCTTCTAAGTTAATACTTTAAAAAAAGTGTGCCTCCATAACAAATGAATGTCAGACCATTTTGTAACCTGTATTAATGCTTTTATACCACTAATTACCACTAATGTATCATTTCAAAAGGTTACTAAGTTACAGTATGCAAATAACACTGTTATTTACCGATATACCATGTCCATAGAGAATATAAATGTCAAATTCTCAAACAGAGGAGAAGGAAAACAGATTTGTCACTTCCCAGCTCAGAATATATGCTTGATTTTGAATGCCTGATTCTGGCCTTTAGGTTCTAGCCTAATGTTTTACCCACTAGTAAACAAAATACTGCTGGTGGTGATTTAAAACCCTCACTGACTTCTAAACAATCAGGCAGACTCGGCTGACAGGGTAATTTCCACCTCCTATTTAACACACAGAGAAACAGTGAAAAATATAACACAAAATGCTAATGAAAATTTAAGGGAAGGAAGTGACATTTCTAATGATAGTCTGAAAAAAAAGAGGATATAGAAAGCACAAAAGGTAAACAGGAACTAAAGCTGAATGACCCTAGAGGTCGGGGAATCAGTTAGGGAGTGGAGCCCACCTGGAAAACTGGAGCTGACCACCTCCTCTAACCTTGGAAGCCATGAAAGGCCATACCACCCACTAAGTGGAGAGAGTATTATCATGAGTCTTAGAGATGCTGCAGGGAGATTGCTTCAGAAGTATAGACGGAAAAGAATCACCTAGAGACAAAGGAATCTTAGGTGCTTAAAATGCTTTAGGGATATGGATGGGAAAAAACATCAAATACAGAAAGAGGAATCTTAAGCCTTTACTGTACAGGTTCAGGATACTAATTCATGTTTTCTATGAATTCTAGATCTCCATGTGTAACAAACACCTCAAAAGTTTATGACTGGGCGGGGGAGTCTGTGGGAGAATGGATACTGTATATGTATGGCTGAGTCGCTTTGCTGTGCACCTGATACTATCACAACATTGTTAATCGGCTATACTCCAATAAAAAATTAAAAGCTTTAAAAAACAGTTTACGATTTAGGAGGGTAAAACAAAATAATCTTGACAAGGAGGATTCTACAAAGCAGGATATGCAGAATTCTCATGAGACAATCATTGCTGCTTAAGATGGCCTTACAGTCAAATAAAAAAGCCAGTAAGAGGTAATGTCCACCTCTTACGGAGTGAACTAATGAATTCATACACTAACAATTATAGGTAACAGGAAAAACTTCAAAAAAAAGAATGTTTAGGATTTCCATAGAGATCAATAAAGGAACAGAATTCATTAAACAAGTAATGACAGAATGAGACCAGCCAAGATGGCAGAATAAAGATATTGAGCTCACCTTCTCTCACACCAAAATTACAACTATTTGCAGAACAACCATAGATGAAAAAGACCAGAACCTACATGGAAAGATCTACAACTAAAGATATAAAGAAGGAACCACACGAAATGGGTAGGAGTGGCAGAGTCATAATACAGTCAAGACCCATACGTCCTGGATGGGTGATCCACAATAGGAAAATAATTACAATTGAAGAGGTCCTCCCCGAGGTGTGAGGTGCCCCACACCATGATGCCCAGCCCAGGAGTCCTGTGTTGGGAAGATGCGTCCCCAGAACATTTGCTGAAGGCTAATGGGGCTCACTTTCAGGATACCAGAGAGCTGTGGAAACTAGACTCCATTCTTAAAGGGCACACACAGAATCTCACACGCTCCAGGACACAGGGCAGAAGCGGTGAGTTGAATGGAGCCTGGGTCAGACCCACCTGCTGATCTTGGAGAGTCTCCCGGAGAGGCAGGAGGCAACCGGAGTTCACCCTGGTGACACAGACACTGACAGCAGCCATTTTGGGGAGCTCATTCTACCTCGTGGACACCAGTACTGGCAAGTACCATTCTGGAATCCTCTTTCTAGCCTATTAGCCCCAGGACTAGTCCCATGCCCACCCAACATCCTACAGGCACCAGTACTGGGACAGCTCAGGGCAAGGAAATAATTGGGCAGGGACACAGCCTCACCCACCAGCAGACAGGCTGCCTTAAGACCCCTGAGCCCACGGCCACCCCTGGTTATGGCCCTGCCCACCAGAGCATGCAGGGCCAGGCCCCAAATAGCAGTGCACAGACACTAGACCCAGGACCCCCATGGTTCTGCAGCCAGAGACCCTGGGACCCAGCTCGACTCCTAAGTAGGTGGGCATCAGCCCCAGAATCCATAATCCCACCCACTAGAGAGCCTGCTCTAGACTCAGGACCAGGCTCACCCACCAGCAGGTGGACACCAGGCCCAGGACAAGTGCAGCCCCACAGTCTGTGCCCCACCACCACCAGAAGGCCAATACAAGCTTCAGGACACACTGGGCCCTGCAGCCAGCTGTGTCAGGATCTAGCCCCACCCACCAGTGGTCTGACACCAGCTCTGGGACCTCTGGGCACTGTGGGCAGACCCCAGGATTAGCTTTGTCAGTGGGCCAACACTAGCCCCAGGAACCGGCTTCACTCAAGGGGTGGGGGGGGTTAGCAACATCTCCAGGATCTCCTAGACCCCAACTCCACCCACCAGTGAGCCAGCACTAGCCTCGGACCCCTGCAGGGTTTCACATCCAGCTGTCTTGTGACCCAGCCCTGCCAACCAACAGCCCACAGCTTCCACACAAGGCAAGGCCTGGCAACCAACCAGACCAGGGACCAGCCAAGCCTATAAAACCACTTACTGTAGCCAGCCTGCCACAACAAAAGGACCCACACAGCCCGCATAGGGAGCACCCCTGGAGCTTATAGCTCTGGTAATGAACAGGGAGTGTGCTGCTAGGATACACAGGACATCTCCTACAAAAGGTCACTTCTTCAAGATTGGGAAACATAACCAACATACCAGATACATGGAAATCAAAAGAGCAAGTTAGGTGAAATGAGGCAACAGAGGAGCAAGTTCCAAACAATGGACAAAGATAAAACTCGTAAGAATAAGTGAAATGGATACAGGCAATCTACCCAGGAAAGAATTTAAGGTAATGATCAAAAAGAGGATCAAAGAACTCAAGAGAAGAATGGATGAACAGAGTAAGAAGTTAAAGAACAACCAAACAGAGATGAAGAATATAATAACTGAAATGAAAAATACACTAGAAGGAATCAATAGTAGACTAAATGATACAGAGGAATAGATCAGGGAACTGGAAGAAAGAGTAATGGAAATCACTGATGCTGAACATAAAAAAAAAAAAGAAATGAGAACAGTTTAAGAGACCTTCAGGACAACATCAAGCATATTGACATTCACATGATAGAAGTCCCAGAAGGAGAAGACAGAGAGAAAGGGGCAGAGAACATATTTGAAGACACAGTAGCTGAAAACTTCCCTAACCTGGGAAAAGTAGTAGACATCCAGGTACAGGAATTACAGACTGGGCGCTTAAACAGCAGACATCTGTTTCTTAAAATTCTGGAGGCTGGGAAGTCCAAGATCAAGGTATCAGCAAATTTGGTTCCTGGCGAGAACCTATTTCCTGGCTTGCAGGTGGCTGCTTTCTTGCTGTGTCTTCACATGGTGCAGAGAGAGGAGGCGCTCTGGTCTCTCTTCCTTGTCTTATAAGAACACTAATCCCGTCATGCAGACCCCACTTTCATGACCTCATCTAAACCTAATTTCAGCCCAAATGCCCCAACTCCTAATACCATCAGATTGGGGGATAGGGTTTTAACATGTGAGTTTGGGAAGGGGAGACATTCAGTCCATAAGACTACTTAAAAGATCATTCCAAAATTTAGTACCTCAAAACATTTATTATTAACTCTCTTGGTTTGGTGAGTTGACTGAGATCAGCTGAGTAGTTCTCATTTGGGGTCTCTCATGCAGTTGTAGTCATGTGTCAGATGGATATCTAAGATAGGTGGATGTTCACATGCTGCCAACTAATGACAACTATCAGCTGGGAGCTCAGTTGGAGTTGTCACCCAAAGTGCCTGCCTGTAGCTTCTCCATGTACTAGAGCATCCTGCAGCATGGCAGTTGGGTTCCAAGATAGAGGAATGCAACAGCAAGCATTCCAAAAGGCCCAGGTGACAGTTACGTGACCTCTATATTATACATTGGTGATTACATAGAGAATCATAAAGAGATTCATCAGCTACTTCTTTTGGTAAGAATATTTCTTAGGTGGTATTGTGCACTTCCAGTGGAAGGGACGTAATACCTGGTTGTTTGTCTTTTTATGATAATGTCCACTGATGATCAAACATCTAGATAAAGTAATTCATCAAGAGTTTAAATTTGCATTTTTCAAAGATCATTCTGGCTAGACTACAAGTTCTCTTAAAAAGAAATAAATGTCACAGTTATGTGCAGCTTTATGAGAATGGCAATCAAGACCAAGTCATAATGATATAAAGATTTATTGGGTATCTCATCCTGGTTTGGTCATTTTAATAGTCTAAAAATAAATAAGTTCAAAGGGAAGAAAAAAAGGAATAAGTTGTTTTGGCATACTCT